GCGACCTCGGCGGGAAGGCGCGGGCGCTGCCGTCGCAGGCCTTCGCCGCCATCGCGCAGGGAACAGGCCAGCAGGCCTGAGGGATAATGCCCAGCAGGTTCCCGGGCCTTGACAGGCCGCGTGAGTACATGCCAAATTGTCTACTTGCTGCTTTCTGTAGTGCGGCGGGCCCATAGCGGCGCCCCCACTCGCGTGGCGTCGCCTGTAGCCTGTGCCTAGGCTAGGCAAATGGCTACCTGTGCACTCTGCCACATTGGCTCGCCAACTGGCTTGCCATCTCGGCCTCATCGCGTTCACTTGCGCTCGTTGGCCTCGCTCGCGGTGCTGGGGCAGCCCCGTGTACTGCAGCGTCGCCGTCGGGCGCCTGGCCACTTTGGCTTGCCATCCTGGCCTCATCTCGCGCCTTTTTGCGCTTGTAGGCTTGGGTGGCGGTGCTGGGGTCGCCCCGTGTGCTGCTATGCTGCCGCCTGCGCCTTACTTTTTGCTGTGGGGGCCAGCTGCCCTCGGCCAGGCGCCAGTTGCTGCATGCACGTCAGACCCGCCCTTCGCTTGCCACCCAGGCCTAGCCTCGCGTCTTTCCGCGCTAGTCGGCCTGGGTAGCGGTACTGGGGTCGCCCCGTGGGCTGCCGTGCCGTTGCTGGCGCTTCACCCTGGGCCCGTGGCCCAATTGCCCACGGTGCGAGCGCCTGACGTTGCAAGCATGTCAGACCCGCTCTTTCACCCAGAAGAGGTGCGCGCTACATACTGGTAATGAGGCAGCCACAAGGACGCTCTACCCTAGGTGGTTGAGCCGTGGTGATGTGGTGCACGAGACCGCCAGTAGTAGTAGTAGTAGTAGTAGCAGTAGTAGTAGTAGTAGTAGTAGTCGTAGTAGTAGTAGTAGTAGTAGTAGTAGTAGTAGTCGTAGTAGTAGTAGTAGTAGTAGTAGTAGTAGTAGTAGTAGTAGTAGTAGTAGTAGTAGTAGTAGTAGAAGTAGTAGTAGCAGTAGCAGCAGCAGTAGTAGTAGTAGTAGTAGCAGTAGTAGTGTGTAGTAGTAGTAGTGGTAGTGGTGGTGGTAGTAGTAGTAGTAGTAGATAGTAGTAGTAGTAGTAGTAGTAGTAGTAGTAGTAGTAGTAGTAGTAGTAAGTAGCAGTAGTAGTAGTAGTAGTAGTAGTAGTAGTAGTAGTAGTAGTAGTAGTAGTAGTAGTAGTAATAGTAGTAGTAGTAGTAGTAGTAGTAGTAGTAGTAGTAGTAGTAGTAGTAGTAGTAGTAGTAGTAGCAGTAGTAGTAGTAGTAGTAGTAGTAGTAGTAGTAGTAGTAGTAGTAGTAGTACTACTAGTAGTAGTAGTAGTAGGAGTAGTAGTAGTAGTAGTAGTAGTAGTAGTAGTCGTCGGCTTAGTAGTAGTCGTAGTAATAGTCGTAGTAGTAGTAGTAGTAGTAGTAGTAGTAGTAGTAGTAGTAGTAATAGTAGTAGTAGTAGTAATAGTAGTAGTAGTAGTAGTAGTAGTAGTAGCAATAGTAGTCGTAGGTAGGAGTAGTTGTAGAAATCGCAGGTCGTAGTGGTAGCAGCAGAAGTAGTACTAATTGTAGTAGTGGTCGTGGTTGTGGTAGTTGTAGTGGTAGTGGTAATAGTAATCGTAGCATCGCCAACGTCACCACCATCACCGTGAACAGCATCGCATTCTTCACCAATGGACGCCGTCATCATCATCACCGTCCCCATCGTGAGCATGGTGATGATGCAGGCCGTGGCGATGTCAGGTTTCTTCAATTTGGGGGGCATGGCGCGGACACACCTGCTCTCCGCCGCGCTCCTTCCCTCATCTGTAGGGTCTGTAGGGAAGGTCAGTATGGATCCCATGAGGGTCTGTAGGGATCCCATAGGGACCCCATGAGGGTCTGTAGGGATTCCATCGGGATCCCATGAGGGTGTGTAGGGATTCCATTGGGATCCCATGAAGGTCAGCAGGGATTCCACAGCGATCCCATGAGGATGTGTAGGGATTCCACAGCGATCCCATGAAGGTCTGTAGGGATCCCACGGGGTTCCCATGAGGGGCTCTAGGGAGATTCCACACGGATCGCCTCGCCGGTGCACTCTTGCATCATGGAGGGCGGAGCCGGTGGGTGTGCGAAACGGTGCGTGTTCAGTTGTTTGTTTTGCTAGGTTTTTTGGCGTTCTTCTGTTGTTCTGTTGTTTGTTGGTCGGGGGGGTGGGGGGGGACCAGGTACCTGGCAGCCGGATTCGCCCTATCTGGGAAGCCGGCCCGCCGGGTCCCGTGGGACCGGGTAACCGTGCCGGCGCTGGTTTCACCTTGTTGTTGTCGTTATTGTTGTCGTCCCCCCGCGACATGTGCCGCGACCCACCAGCGACCCTCCCGCGACGACCCACGCGCGACCCACCCGCGACCCATCCGCGACCCACCCGCGACCCATCCGCGACCCATCCGCGACCCACCCGCGACCCACCCACATTGCTTTAACGGAAAATTCGGCACTTGCGGCGGGCTTCTTCAGAACCTCGCAGACTGCCGCCGTCCCGCCGCCCCCCCACTCTTATCCGCAACTGCGGGGTGTTATGTTTTCACAGACGCATGCAGAGAGAGAGAGAGAGAGAAAGAAAGAAAGGGAGAGAGAGAGAGAGCGCGCAAAAAACGAGAAAGGGAGAGAGAGAGAAGAAGATTGTGGACGAGTGCAGCTTTAGCGATTGGCGACTTGGGCAAAAGACATAAGGGTAGGGATGCTGAATGAACGCGAGGTCACAGCTGGGGAAAACAGGACAACGGACTCCAAGCATATTGCCTTGGAGGTGTTACGAAAAGCTGCATGCAGCAGGGGACGCGAAGGTAGAGTATCCTTCCCACCAGGTCCACACACTGTGAGAGCGGCATGCAATATCGCATCTGATCTAGACGTGGCGCTCGCAGGAACGGCGGCGCTTCTGCCGTTTGTGCGACGTCATGTGAAAGTGCATTCGTCTTAGGAGCTTGCGTGGTGTACATGTGCAGTTCCGTCGGCACCCCCGCCCACCCGTTTCCTGGTGATGAAGGCCTTGTGTTGGGCGCGCAGAATGCAAGGAAGGATGCGGATCGCAAGGCCCGAAAACCGTATCAAATTTGACCCGGATACGCCGCATCGCCAGAATGAGGCACACAATTGTATTAGCATCAAGCTTGGAGGAAACTGATGCGAAAGTTAGAGAGAGCGGGGGGACGAGAACGAAGGCACAGCTATAGCATTTGCTCCTTTGAACCCTTCCTAGTGTTACCAGTAGCCTTGATAGTGCAAAGCATAAAAAGTCCCGGGTAGAGCGTTTGGTGATTTTGGCAATGTTCACGACAGGCATATTGAACGTGAGGTTATTTTTAGGGAAACAATACAGTGTAATACAACGTGTAGTCTGGAATATTTGAAAAGACAGAGAGGCGGAGAGAGAGGGAGAGAGAGAGAGAGAGACGGAAAGAGAGAGAGAGAGACGAATAGACAGAGAGAGGGAGAGAGATAGCGATTGAGAGGGGCAGAGAGAGAGATACAAATATTTATATATGGCACGGATGAGGAGGCACGAAGCGAGCGCTCTCCCAGCATACTTCAAAAACGGTGAAACAGAGATCGTCGTGTTAACTCTTGTTTGGTCGCACTTGCACTGGCACGCAGTGTGCGAGCCTGGAGATGGTATAGTCACAATTCCTGCGGCCCTCGTAAGATGCACTCGCAGTCAGGGTGCTAAACGGTCATGGCTCGAATGAATGGCCAGGGGGTGTCCGAAACACCCTTCCGTTTTCCCACCGAATTCCCCCTCGGGGGTTGTTAAGGGTGTCTCGGGCCCGAGGTGCCCCTGGCTTCCCTCTCCACTCTGGGGCCTCCCTGGGGCCCCTCTGGGCCCCGTGAGGGGTGCTCTTAAGGCCGGTGGGGGCCTCCTGGGAGAATTTTTGGGCGCATCTTGGGCTACAGTCGGCCCGGATTAGTAGGTCGACCCTGCCAGCTCAAGGGTACCCTTGTGTCCTGTGCCTCGCGACACGTGCCTTCTTACACTCCTATGGCGATGTGGCCCTCGGAAGGGTCTTGTGTCCTCTCGCGTGTCCTGTCCAATCAAGGCCGACTGTAGGGACACTCCTGGCAACACGGGGGCCACAAGCAATACAAATTGACTGCTGTAGCAGCAACAGAACGCCTTCTGGCCGACGGGCTGCCGGGCTCCGGACGGCGGCGCGCCTCAGCTTGATTCGGCGCAGACACCACGTCGTTTGGTTGGTGAAGAGGCCAAGGAGATCGGCGATGGAATTCTACGCACATCGAAGAAGAATAACAACAACTTGCATAAGCATAAACTTTCGGCGCTCCGCGAGGATTTTTTGGATCGGCGCTGAACGCCTCTGGCAGAGCCTCCAGCGCTGCACCTGGCGCGTTCCGCACGCCAGGGAGTGGGTTTCGGTGCAAGTCCAAGAACTTCGCCCGGACCTCCGATTGCTTCTTTCCTTACCTAGGCTCTGCCTAGAAGGGTTTTTACTCGCTTGGCTTAAAGGGGCCGGGCAGTGCAAACCGCCCCGGGCGGTTCCCCCAGTCCCCTGGGAGCCAAGCAAAAGCAACAGCAAAGGTAAAAGCAAACGCGCGGTTCCCCCAGTTGCGCTCCCTGGGTGCCAAGCAGAAGCAAAAGCAAAGGCACAAGTGAAGGCAAAAGCGAAGGCAAAGCAAAAGCATAGCATAGCATGGCATAGCATAGCGCAGCATAGCATAGCGCAGCATAGCATAGCATAGCATAACCTAGCCTAGCCTAGCCCAGCATAGCATTGCGCATAATAGCATAGCATAGCATAGCGTAGCATAGCAAAGCAAAGCAAATCATAGCATAGCATAGCATAGCATAGCATAGCATAGCGCAGCACAGCATCCACTATTGCTGCTGCTGCCATATGTCCAGTTTTGAAACGTGAAGCGGAGCCGGGGGGAGAGAGAGCGCCGCATTCGTCTGTGCCTGCCCCGCTGGCACTGGGCTCAAAGTGCAAGCCGACGGCACTTCGATGGCCTTCGCCGCATGGCTGGCAGGCGAGGCGGTGCACGGCGCAGGGCAGGCCGCGCTGCTGTGGGCAGCCCGCGGTGAGTGCCCAGCCTGCACGTGCGCGCCGGCCCTCACGTGCGCCCCTGGACAGGAGGCGGCGCGCGTGGACTGCCCAGGCGGGTCCCCAGGGTGGGCGCTGTCAGCGGTGGCCCTCGCTGGCGCGACTGGCTTCGCAGGAGGGTTCCTGGCCGCGCGGTGGCTGAGCTCCTGGCAGCCGATCGCTGGCCTCCCGCCTCAGCCCTCTTTGGAGGAGGCGGCTAGAGCGCAGGCTGCTGCAGTCAGAGCGCGGGCCTGTGCCTCGTGATGGCCAGCTCTGCAGCCGCCGCGGCGGCCAGTGGACACCCTTTGGCTCTGGACGGACTCGACGAGGGCGATTTCATCCTGGTGCTGTATCGTGTGGGAGGTGGCCGGATCTGGCACGAGCGTCTGATCCTGGCGTTCCAGACGGTGCCGCCCTTCGGGACAGGGGTGTTGACTCCAGATGGGCACGCCTACGTGGAGGCCATCATGCAGAACGGGGCCGACATCAGGGAGTACGCGATTCCCGCCGGCGGCGCAGTCGGCGCCGTGGCTGCTGCCACAGCTGGGGATCAGGTCCACCGATTCCGTGGTCTCCCTCTTCCTGGAGAAGTCGCGGCGGGTGCCGCCTCAGTTCGGGGCACTCTTGGGCTGGGCGCTGGGCCGCCGATCGCGCTGAACACGGCAGGGCGTGCCATCGCAGCTGGGATAGGCGCTCCGGCTGGCGCTGGGCCTGCGGGGGCCCCCGCTGCGGGGGGGGCCGGCGGCGCTCCTGGGGCTCTGGGCGGCCTGGCAGGGCTAGCAGCAGCCCTCGGAGGCGGCCCAGCAGCCGCGCCAGCTGGGGCAGCCGCCCTTGTGCCAGTGGCGGCCGCACCTGCACCTGCGGCAGGAGGAGCTCCAGCTACCGTGCCCCTTGGCGGAGGAGGGGCTCCCCCCGCTGCTCTTGGCGCCCTTGGCGGCGCCGCTGTGGCCGCGCCGGCGCCTGGGCCTGCCGCCGCCCCCGCGCCTGCCGCAGGTGGTGGCCCTGGTCCTGGTGGCGTGGCCGCAGCTCTGGCCGCCATCGCCGGCGCTCCAGGAGGCGATGCTCGGATTCAGTCAGTCGCCTTCGACGCGCAGGGGGTGGGATATGTGGACTTCCGAGCTGCAGTGGTTCGCCTTCACGAACTGCCATGGGGCGATTGGCCTCTCAAGGGACCACGCACGCTGCTATGGGTGCTGAGCTTCATATGCCGCAATGGGGGAACGCCCCTTGGGAGGCGCACGAAGTGGGTTTCGGAGGGGTACCTGGAGGCGGACGATCCTGGAGTGGACATCCACTTGCTGTGCTGCCGCCTCCTCGAGCTGAGCGTAGTCTACGATCAGCTCCACGTGACCAACCTTGCGGCCATGGGGTTGGTCGGGCGGACCCTCCAGACGCAGGAGGAACTGTACCGAGACAGGTTCGCAGCGTCTTCGGAGTTCGGCTCAGACGCTGCGCTGATGTCGGGTGCTCTGGACGCTGGCGGCAACGCGTGCGTAGCCCCTGCCCTGAGGGACTGGCTGGCCGCCGAGAAGGCGCGCGAGGCCAACGTAGCCAAGGGGCGGCGCAAGGCGCGTGAGGAGCGGCTACTCGCCGCCGGCGGCAGCTCTGGCGACGGGCGCGGCAGCGATGGCCGAGGTCGAGGGCGCGGCCGCGGACGAGGCAGAGACGGCGGGAGGGGCGGCCGCACAGCCCCAGACGGCCATGGCCGAGAAGCACCAGGGGGGGGCACCTGGGCCAGCCTCTCCCTGGAACATGAGTGCGGCTTCGGCCGCAGGCCCGGGCACGCGTGGAAGTCTCCGACACCGAGACGTCTTCCCGCTGCCGTCCCCCGCTGCTGCTGCCGGCCCACCCCCATCGCCTGGCAGTCGCCGCTCGGCTAGGCGCGCTGGGTATCGCCTTCATCGTGGAGAGAGGGTTCGCTCAGCCGTCAACGCACTTCATTCGCTCTATGGTTCTCGGTCCTCGCCTCCAGCTGCGGCTCACGAGGGGCAGCGCCAGGCCATCATGCATATCACGGTCAGCGTCGACGAGCTTGGGCGCCCGCCGCCAGAGTTCATGTCGGGTAACGCTGCCGAAGACGGAGCCCTCCGGGAGCTCCTCTCTTGCGCCAACCTGTACGGTACTGGCGCCGCGACGTCGACCCCCTACGTCAGCGACAGAGTCGCATGGCCTGCCGCGGGTGGGACCCCAGTGGGCATCGTCGAGCTGGTGCCGCCCGTGGATAGGGTCTGGCTGGAGGGTTGGCGGAGTCATATGCTTCGAGATCCGGGTGCTGCTGCTGCTCTGGCCAGGGAGGCATGCCCGAAGGGGCCTTTTTGCGATCCCGCCCTGACGCGCGACGTGAGCACGTACGGTCGTTTTTTGATTCAGATGTACGAGAGACAGATGGTCAATTTCGCGGTTGACTCCGGTCGGCCGCACACCGTCGGCCTCTTCTTCGTTCCCAAGAAGACGGGGGCCCTCCGCATCATTTTCGACACGAGGGCCGCCAACTGCGAGTTTTTAGACGCGCCCAGCACTCGGCTACCGTCAGCTTCAGCCTTCAGTTCGATCGAGGCGCCGATCGAAGGCATGTACATGTCCACCTGCGACCTGGAGTGCGCCTTCTACCACATGAAGCTCCCGGAGGGCATGGAGGTGATGTTCACCTTGCCGCCGATCAAGGCGGGGGTGCTTCAGGAGCTCGGCCTCGTGGACCTCGACTTCGACCCGTCGGTGTCCCTCTCGCCCCAGGTTATTGTGCTTCCTATGGTTTTTCGTGGGCATTGCATCTTTGCCAAGCTGCAGCTCGCAACGTGCTGTCGGACGACGGCCGCTCTCTGGATCAGACCGCTCAGGATGGCCATCCTGGGGTTAACGTGGTTAAGAAGAATGTCGTGGGGGTGGCCGCCTACGTCGATAACATCCTCGTCTTCGGTGGCTGCAAGTCCTTGGTGGATGAGACTATGAATAGGCTGGTGGACACTTTCAGGAGACGCGGCCTTCCAGTGCACGAGATCGAGCCCGCTGCTCTGGATGCCGACTTCCTTGGCCTCAGCCTCCGCAGTGGAAGACATCTTCGCATCAAGCCTCGGAACATTTGGAGGCTCCATTTTGCGATATCCAGTTTGTTGAGGCGTGGATGGTGCTCCGGCCACATGCTCCGCGCGGTGCTTGGTCACATCGCGTGGACGTCGATGATCCGCAGAGAGGTGCTCACCGCGCTGCACAGCTCCTATGGCTACGTCGGTGCCTTCGGCCCGAGGCACGGCAAGCTCTGGCCGTCAGCTGTCGAGGAGCTCATCATCATTAGGGACCTGCTCCTATTTTGACTTGTGACCTGACTGCAGAGTGGCATGCCGTGATGACGGCCAGCGACGCCTCTCCCTTTGGCCTCGGCGTCATGCGACGGCGGGCGCCTGCTGCTACTTGTGCTGCAGTGGGGCGGTGCTCGGAGCGTTGGCGCTACAAGGTCGAGGGCGGGCGCCAGGCTCGCCCGCGGTCGCTCAAGGCTGGAGAACGGGTGATTGATGAGGGGACAGGCGAAAACAAACAAAATCCGACCTCTCTCCCTCCACCTCTCATGCCAAGATCCAGCGGTAACGGGGATCACTCTGGGGAGCACCTGGGCAGCTTGGGGAGTCACGCGTTGAATCCAGAGGACATCCAGGAGGCCGGCACCTTGGGCGTCCACGGCGAGGGCTTGGGCATCCCTGTGGAGCACAACATGGCCGAGGCCCTGAGGTTCAGCATGGACCCTTGGGAGCTCGACGAGGTACCTGGGCACATTGCACGCAAAGAAGCCTGGAAGAGCGTCAGTGCACAGTCGGTGTCTCTGGGGGCCAATATTCTTTACCTTGAGGGCGAAGCCTTAGTCACGTCTTATCGGCACCTACTTCGTAACTTGGGCAGTCACGGCAAGCGTATGGTGGCTTTAGTCGACAACCTGCCCTTGGCTCTTTCTTGTGCGAAGGGGAGAGCCCGCTCGAGTTTCTTGAGGTCATGTCTCAACCAGTTGTGCTGTCTGTCTTTAGCCACGGGCTCGAGGCTTTGTGCACGTTGGATCGCTTCAGAAAGGAACCCATCAGACTCGCTCAGCCGTGGGAAGCTGGGCTGGTTCAGCGGCCATCGTCATCTTAGTGATGCTCGGACGGCTGGTCGGAGGCTGCGTCGCCCTCCCTGTCCTGCTCTTGCTGATCACGAGGGCGGAGGCTTTGCCGCGACAGGGATCGCGCACCCCTTCGGCCTCGACGAGACACCGCGCGATCCTGGCTGCCAAGGCCACGGGCGGGAGCACCGGCACGTTGGCCATGAGCCTGCTGGAGCAGCAGGCCGTGAGACTGAACACAGAAGCCTTCCTCCGGCAGCCGCAACACACGTTTGTGAGCTACTGTGCGGGCCGCCACCTGGACTGGGGCACGTTGGGGCAGTTGGACTCGATCCTGGCGGAGTACTTCACCGCGCGCCACCTGGCGCAGAGGCTGACGCCCGACCGCATCGCGCAGCCGTCCATCGGCGCGGGGGCCGTGCACCAGCTCTGGAGCCTCCTGCTGCACCCCGCAGACCGCGGCCAGGGCGGGATGACGGGGGCGTTCGATGTGCCGATCCCTCTCGATCTCGACCTGTACCTCGCGCCGATCCTCAGGGCCCTCCGCCTAAAGGGGCCCGTTGCGAAGGCTCTGTGGGGAGTCAGTCTCGGCCAGCGGAACCTGATGTTCTTTCTTGCGGCAATGACCTTGGGCATCAATCACCTGCGCCCCCACTCGTTCAGGATGAGGCATGGCATAGTGAGCTACGACCGCTCGACGCAGAGGCGATCGATGGAGCGGGTGCGCCGCAGAAGCCGCTGGGCCGTCATGGCGTCGATGCGGCGCTACGCGGAGGAGACGGCTCTTCTGCGCGAGCTTCAGGACGGGGCGGAGGTCGCGTACTCGTTCGGCCACCTCGTGGAAGGGCGGTTCTGCGAGCTGCTGGAGATGGGCTTCCTCAGACGCTGGCGCCTCGCCCAGGTGCCCTCCCAGCTAGTGGAGGCGATGCTGATCTGCGGCCCGGCGCGCGGCAGGCGGGCTCAGAGGAGGCCCGCAGCTGCGGCGCAGCGAGTGCTGCAGGCGACGCCGTCCGCCTGCACCTGAGGCGGCGTTTCAAGGAGGCTGCGCAGCGGTGATCGCTCTGTCGCAGGCGCGTTGTGGTAGAGCTTTTCAGCGGTTCAGGCCACTTTACCGCCGCGGTGCGCCGACTTGGCCTCTCGGGTCTGGGACTCGACATCAGGCATGGGCCTCTCGAGGACCACCTCGATGCCACTTTCGAGGAGGTCATCGTCGGATGGCTTTGTAGCCACTCAGTCGCCGCTGTTTTTCTAGGGACGCCCTGCACCACCTGGTCGCGGGCTCTCAGGAGGCCCTTGAGATCTCGCGACCACCCAATGGGACTCCATCACTTGAGCACTTCCGAGAGAGCCCGCCTACAGCAAGGCAACGCTTCCTTTGCGTTCACGTGCCGCATCATCAGACTGTGCATTCGTCTAGGGACTCCTGTGATGCTGGAGAATCCAGCGAGCTCCGTGATGTGGTATGCT